ACCAGCGATGTGGCATTACTGGCGGGGTACACATGCCAGCCAGCACGACCCCCCGATCCGTTCCATGGTGAACAAACAGCTGCCGCGTCTGGGCCCCCCTCCAACAACCGATGGCCACGTTGCGTAGCTCCGGAGAAAGATCGGAGCACAAACTTTTGGCATTGACGACTATGTTACACGAGTCGTCTGCTCTGTCTTAGGCCAGAGGAGTGGCATTTGTATATGTTTTATGCATAGAAAGAATAGCTTTGAAGAATCAAAAAAATTTTGACCAAATACAGATTTGAGAGATAATTCTTTTTTAATTTTTAAAAATTATTTTTCAAAAATAATTTTTTTTTAAATTATTATGTAGAACGTTTAAACACGACAATAATATTGAAAATTTTTTTATATTCCGAGAACCATTATTTGAACGTCCTACATAATTATTTTCACGGTCCAATAAAATTATTTTTCAGATTTGTATCGGACTAAATTTGTCGATGAAACTATTTTTTTTGTGTGAATACTACAAAAATAAATAAAATAGCTGATTTCGCAGATAATCAGAATATTTTAGACAGTAGCTTTTTTAATTTTGTAATTATAAACTATTTCAATTTAATTAAACTGCTATTTAAAGCAGTTATTAAACAATTATTAAACTGGGATAAAGCAATTAACAACAGTTTAATTAACAGTTTAATTAACGTTAACAGCTTTATCCAAATTTAATAACTAATGTGAACTAATATTAGCGACTTTGTCCTAGTACAAATTAGAAATTATCAAGTTTCTTTCGTTTAATCACAAGTGTCTCGTTTGATATAGAAGAAAATGAAAATAGATTATATGGCACGTGAGAATAACGTGGATTTTGGCAAAGCATACAGCCGCATGAGGTAACTTTTCCGTTCTAATTTTATTCATAGTATTACCTCAATGCTTGCCCAAGTTGACGTCAATGTTTAATTAGAGCGATGAAATTATGTCTAACACGCACTTTGAATTTTACCTCGTTAAATTTCTTTGGCACGAATTATTAATAACGCTACATAACGCGCGTTTCGATGAGCTTCTTTTCAAACTTTTAAAGGCTTATGTAACGTTACATTAACATTAGATGAACATAAATAAATTCTGTGAATATGTTACATTC